GGGGGGGGGGGGGGGGGGAGGGGAAGTGTATGGAATAGATGTGTGACATGTGAAAGTAATGTTTGCTCTGAACAAACTTCTGAAAACTTAGTTGACAAAATTTTGGATCAACTTAAAAAAAAAGCATGACTTTTGAAATCTCTGAATGCCTTGGTTCTCAGTATTATCATTCTTTAATGACTTTTTCTTTATTAAAATAAGTAGTTTTAAGACTTCTTTCTGACAGTATTATGTAATTTTTTTAGAGTGGGTAGATGGGAGTGTCGCTTGTATGTAACCGTACAGATGACATGTATTTGTCTATTCTTTATTATCTTAGTAGTTTCATGCTATGTATGTACCATAACCAACCTATTGCCTATGAGAAACATGTAAGATAATGTATTTACAGCCATTGTTACAAGTTTATAATGTATTTTTCTATCTTGTTTTATATGTATGTTATATAACATTCAAAAGAATTTTTTTCCTGATTGAGAAAAAAGGATACAAAATGCAAAACCCACAATTTTGATAACTGAAAAATTGCCAATTGTTTTGCAGTACTTTATTATATTGGGAGTGTTGTCTTTCTTGGGCTTTTAGTTAGCTACTGGATGAATACATTAGACATATTTGGGTTTTAGTTGGGTTTTTACATAGCTTGCATTTTAATTCTTTGGTTCTTTGCTGTTTCTATTAACCCATAGCATTATTTTAATAAATGTTATAATACCAACCTACTAACTCTGGACTATGTCTGTTTATTAACCATTACATGTTTAATTAAAATAAACAAATAAAGACGGAAGAATGTAAAGTCTTGAGTTACTGGACTAACCCTGAAGAACGTGACCACAGATAACACAACGTGACTTGTTTTTATGTTGTTTGTCAGCTGACATTCTGCACACTACTGTTAAGTTGGCTTTGGTCATTCTGGCCTTTTACCTTGGCGAATGGGTGCCAGTAGAAATGGGAACAAAGTAGCATTTTTTGAGGCATTCTTCTTGTAGAGTCTTGCCACTTGCCTTTCAGCATCTGCATTACTAATTCCACACTTTCTTTTTCTTTCTCTAAAATAATTACTGTTGGCTCACAGCAAAAGAGCAAAAGATGCCAGCGTATTGGTAAATTGTGACGGTGTACAGAAACCAGTTTGATTCTTTGTTGAACCATTCAGAGGTTGCAGTTAACGGCACGGTAATTTGTGATTTGTTGGTTTTGGCACTTGATTCACTGTTGCATCATGTGACACTTCTAAGCACAGAATATTTCTGGATAGAATTGCTGTACATTGAAACACAAAACCTGGGGGTTTCCTTTGGCTAAAGTGCCTTATTTATGCCACACTATTTCAAGTAACTTTTTTTTTTTTGGTACTTCTGCTGTAGTCTGTCAGTATTGCCTAGCTCAGGGGAGTACAACTTCTGTAAGCCAAAGGTCAAACTGGATCTTTTCCTAATGACTGCAGAAAGTACAAAAATACACTTTTCACTAAATTACCAAGCAATATCCATTTCAAATTCCAGAGCTGCCTTTTTGTCATCTTTATCCCTGTAGATGACTGGAGCAACATGAATGCAGGGAATTGAGATGGTGAAAATGCTGTTTTGAGTGTACGTCTATGCAAATATTTTTACAGATACGTTTCCCCTTTCTTAGAACTACACTGTCTGAGGCTGCTTTACATTTCCCAGGTAGTTCTAGATTTGTAACCTTGAGTCAGCAGTAATTACCGCTAATGTCGAGGGAGATCCACAGTGTAGATAACTTTTCAGTTTTCTTCCTGAAAGCCCATTTTTTTCCTGTAGATAGTAAAAATCCAGATGAGGAATCGGAATCTGTTCAAATTCCTCCTTTAATTTATGACTTTCAAACTATTTATCTTGAAATACATGCAATATAAATAGAGTTCTCACAGTATTGCTAGTAATTAAAATTTTATGCATCTTTATTTTATGGAGAAAAATAGTCTAGCTTTGATGATGTTTGTTAGTTTTCTAATGGCATGTAGTTCTTTGTTTTACAAAAATTTTAGGTAGAGCTGAAATGCCAATTTATTTTGAATAGTTTCACTTGTGCAGAATTTTCTTTTTAATTTAACAGATCATTTTGCTATCCTAAAACTCAGCCACAGGCAGATGATAAGAATATTAGATATTTACAACAGATAATATCAGGACCTTTTGACTGGGTAATGGAACAAGTGTCTTTATAGAGCAAATAATTTATATTCTTAAAGAATTTTATCAGAGGTGCACGTGTAGTTTGGTGAAGTACTCTGTCCAGTATAGGTGAAACTATTCATATGGAACAAAACTTTAATGTTTTACACTAAAGAACACTTCTGTTACCAGAACTACTGCTTTTCTGTAATATTATTATTATTTTGTATTTTTATCAATAGATATTAAACTACTGTTATACTTCGTCCACAGTGCATTTTCATCTCATTCTTCAGTATATGCAGTAGTTGAAGTTGCTGTAAATTTCGTAGTGCTTTAAAATCGAAGGACAGAAAAAAATAGGAAAACTCTAAAATCAAAATAATATATTTATTATTGTTGTCCACGAAAGGCATTTCTCAATTTATCTGAGTGCCTGTCTGAAAATTTAACTATTTTATGCTTTGCCCACTTAGAGGAAAGGATATGAACTGTTCTTAGAACCGAATTTGATGACTTCAGTATAGCTAAATCACTGAAGTTAGTTTCTTTTTCTTTCCTATTCTGAGGTTAAATTGTCTTAACATTTGAAAGATCATACATTCAAGACAATTAGATAATTGCTCTTCGAATCCAGTAAAGTGGGATTTATCTTAGGATAATTTTTGTTTTTTGGTAGATCAGAATATAAGCAAAAATACAATCTAGCCTTTCACAGCAAATGCTGAGCAATGCTATTCACATCTTAAGTGTTGCACCAAAGTACAATAAATTTGGTTTCTCCAAGAGTATTTTTGTGCACATTATAAAGTGCCTTCAAGAACATCTTTCAGATATTTTTAATGAGCATATGTTCAGTGTACTGACAATACTGATCTTCCATTTGAACATACCTCTTAAAAGTGTGTCAAAAATCTACATGTAGCAAAAGGTTTATTGCCAGATTATACTCCATGAGGGGGACCACTAAAAGGTTTTCTGCCCTGAAAATGTAGGGAAACATTGAAGTGTGTTTTAAGAAATTAACTTGGAGGTTATACTCATAACATGAGTATATGAAACAGTTCTTTGTGTCTGGATAAAAATACCAGTTATCAGAAATAGCACATTGAACAGAACGGAGTAACACATTCCTAGGGCTGGAAGTACATAATTGTTCCTGGAATTTCTGTTTTGTTTTAATACGTTTGATACACTTTTCTTAAACACTGTTAATAGAATACTGTCCCAATAACACATGACCCATAACATTAACACGTGGTAATCAATGTTGAATCAAACTGGTTAACGAAAGTACAGTGCTCTTCCTTCTCTGTGCCTGCGCACTAATTGCAGGTGGTGCATAGGGGCTGGGGCTTAGGCACAGCAGGCTGCAGTCCTGATTTCTTGGTGCCTGCAGTTCGGGTGTCCGTCTTTGACAACAGACTAACTGGGAGGAGTCTGCCTCCCAAGACAAAGTTTAACTGAGATCTGAAACTTAGAATTAATTGAAAATACAGCAACAATAAAGCGACATATATATACATATATGCTTTGACTTGTATTATGGCAGTTTGTGTGAAACATTTAAGGTTTTGTTTGTGCAAAATAATGTATTCTGAGGGGAAAAGCAAACATGGACGTTGCCAAAACACATGTAAATAAACACCATTTATGACTGTACATTATGTGCAATAAAGTAACTGGAAAAAGTGCATGTACTTTATCCTCGAAAGAAAACTGACAGCTCTCAAAGCTGTAGCTATAGTTTTATTTTCTGAAAAGTTAAATTTTATTCTGTATCTAAGCAGCAGAATAAAGAATGTACATTTTTCACACTTTAATCTTCATTAATGCTTCTAGCAGGGTTATGAAAGATGTTAATTGTTGGAGAGGCTTAAACTTTCATGGTCGTCTGATTATCAGGGTGTATTTTGCTTAACATTTTCTTACTGCATATGCTGTTGTTTGTAAATGAAGGAAGTACGCATTATGTATCGTAAACATATAGTACACTTTTTGCATATGGGTTTGTGGATGCACAAACTATAAATTCCACAGAGATAACCACATGATTTTGGTGATAATGTACTTTTGTAGGCATAACTGTTACAATTGTTCAGAGCAAATAAGAAAGAAGTACTACTTCACTGTAACTTTAACACATGGGTTAGGGGTTTCTGGTTATAGTTTCTGGTTACTGTAGAAAATGAAGATATCTGCCACCCCACCTAGTGTGAACCTAGCAAGAAACACACTTTTGGAGAAGCACTAGGTAATGGTGTTCTACATTTTCCTTAATATTTATGTCATGATGCCTAGTTTTAGTTAAAAGGACAATTTCTTTGCCAAGGTGTTCTTTGCTAAAAATTCCTTCTACTTCACATTGCTTAAATAAAAAACTGTTTGATTCAGAAGCAAGTGCAGTAGATAAGGTTAAGTGTGATATTTTTAGAAGTCTGGTAGAGTAGGGGAGAGGAGGCTAAACACCAGTGTTCACATACACTTCTGCACACCCGGCAAGGATGAAAAGTTTGGCATAGTCAGTCTTTGAAGACACCTTTCCTGATGAGTCTCACCAAAGTAGTGGCATACAGTTGTATGTGAGCTAGCTGCAGTTTCAGAAGTTTACAGAATGTAGGAATGCTGTTTGGCATGTGCCACGTGAGCAGGTAAAGCAGCCCTTGTCATACTTGCTGTTGAGTGCCAGCTGCCTGTACCCTGCAGTCCTGGCCTGGAGTGTGGGCACAGCCTTGCTTCTGTGCTGTCTCTGGCTGCACTGTGCAATCCCCCTCCTTCATCCATCTGGATCCCCAGAGAGCAGAATTGTATTTATTCCTTACCTCTTGAACCAAGTCAGTAATACCTGTTTGTGGTCATGTTCATGTTAGGAATTGTGTTTATAGGTCTACATGTTAAAGCTAGATGTGGAGTTTAAAGACTACAAATATTTTATCAGTGGACTTTTACCACCATTCTACCAACACTGTCTGTGTGTTTTGGTATGTTTACAGGGGATGACCTGGCATCTCTAGATGGCTTTTTGTTGTGTTACTACAGTTACTGTAGTTCCCTTGAGGCAACACAAACTTGACCATTATCAGTGTCAAAATAATGAGAGACATTCATAGCAAAGAGTACAAAGTGCAGTGTCAGAAATTACTTTCATGTTGGCATTCAGGTCTACCAGCAAAAATAAAAAGAGACTTTATCCTACTGCTTTCTTGGTGACCCTGTGAAGTTCTCAAACAGTTAAAAGTAGACAACTGACAGGCAGTTCCTGTTGAGTTGAACTCAAAAAATTAGCAATCACAAATAATCAGTAACTCCCTAAAAGGTTTGGGGGTTTTTGTTTATTTTTTTCACAAAGTAGCATAGCATGTACTTGTCCTTTTTCATTCTGTCACAGTATTTTCAAAGTGTTTTTATCTTCAGCAATAAGATTACTACTTTGAAGAGCAAACTTGATAAACTGAGAGGTGAGGTTCAAGGAAAAAAACCATCAAATAGTGGCACACCTCAAAACTGCATCATTTCAGCAACTTATCAGAAAATGAAGGTATTTTCTCTAAAGTTCATGTGTTTGTAAGCACCTTATATGGACAACATACTACGCAGAGTAATTATTTTTGTTTGTGGGACTTTTTTAGAATGAATTCTGTAGATTTTCAGTTCACAGAGAGTGACCTTGCCATAGGTCAGTCATTGAGCAAACAAGTGTTCAGTGTTGATTCTGGCTTGCTTTCATACTCTTGTGAAAATGAAGCCCCATCTTTTGTATCCAAGTCTTTTTACTACCATGACAGTCTGTACCTCCCAAAGCAGTGTTTTAAAGGGGGGTTGGTTTTTTTTTTTTACAACGAAGTTATTTCAGTAAAAAGGCAGGTTAGAGTGAGCAAGACTGTTATCAGAAATGTGTTAATATACGATAAAGATACTGGGATCACTGTTCTAGTGTCTGTATCGTGTGTATTAGAAACCCACAGTGAAATGTTAGTGTAATATTTATCTCGTTAGTTATCTACACCTTTCCAGTTATGGTTTCCAGAGAAGGTGGAATGACAAGGTAACTGCAGATCACTCCTGTGTATGTGCTTTTTCATAGAGCACAGCCTTTTTAAGGTGTTGACCTCAGATACTGGGTAAAACATTGTAAATTTGTGATGCAATTTATTTGTGTGCACAGTTTATTTGTTAGCCTATCTGCTAACCACTGAAAGTTCAAACATCACTACCAATTCAGAAATGTTACTGCATGTTAATTGCTGTGGCAAATTCCATGTCTTGTTTTTAACATGGGTGCAATCTGGAGGCCTTCACATGCATACTACTCTAGTTAATTTGGATCATTTTCATGATCTTTCATGAAGAGTGGATCCAGTACTGCTGAGGGGGCCACAAGGCCATTACTTGCATGCCCTTGTGTGACTTTCCCATATAACCTTAGTGATGAGACCGTTTTGATTCTTTCCCTGAAAGGCAATGAATGAAGCAGATCTTCAGCTTTGTTTCTGAGAGAAAATAGGACATGTATACCAATGTGGACTGAAAGAAGAAAAAGAATAACAGTAATATCAGAGCTTTGAACCCTGTCTTGAACAGATGACTGAAAATTACTCTGGACTTTATAGAAGCCAAGAAGAGGAGACGACCCTAAACAAGGGCAGCAGTGTCAAGCCTGTATCATGTTGACAAGAAGTTCATCAGAGACTGCAGGCTGGAATTTTAAGTGAAGAAAATTGAAATTATCTCGGTCCTTGAAGAACTGGTTTACCATATCTCCTGTTATCTTAAGCAAGCTTGTTAATTCTTCTGTTGGAAATTTTTCCCTTCTTCAGCCTAATTTGAATTTCTTGTTCTTTTATTCTAAGGTTCTGCCCTGCCCCCTTCTGTGCTGTCTTGCATTTCATAGACAAATTCTCCCTTCATTAGGATGGTGAGGTGGCACAGGTTTTTCTTGGTACAGAAAGACAACAAGCAAGACTTCAGGTCTAGATCAGGATGTTCAGGTGTGACATTATGTAGAAAGCCTGTTTTACATACATGTGACTCCAAGCAGATGGAAGAGAACTATTTTGATACAGAGGGCACAAATCTAATGTTTGGAACACCTGGGTTTCAGATGCTTCTTTCATTGCTGATTTGTGCAGTTTTGGGCAAGACCCCTGCAGCCAAATCCACAAAATACCACCATCACCTTAAGTGATATGTCAAGATACAGAGTGTGGTTAGCAATTTTTTCATCAAAATAATCTTTTTCATGGTCTTCCAGAAAAGAAAACACCATTGCCTTATCTTCTTTTGTCAGTTTCTAGCAACAACATCATCCAAAAAGATAACTCCTTGTACCCAAAGACAATATACCTGCCTGAGTGCAGAAGGGAAAGCACTGTTTGATAAATCCCCATCTTTCCACCACACCCACAGGAACCAGCTGGGCAGCTTGGCTCCATCTCTCTCAGGCACGTTTCTCCCCATTTTGACATGCATAGCACATATGGCTGTAACTTTGCCTTTTGCATTCCCCAGCTATCCATGAAGAAAGCTACTCTTTTACTCCAGTAGCTTTGGTGCTCTTGTTCTGAATCTTTGTCTCTCAGTTTCCTGTTGGTGAAATGAGGTCAACAGGAGAACCCCAGTAGAGTTTAAGTGGTGGATGGCCACATCTGAGATCATGGAGTGCTCAAGCTGTATAATGCTGAGTGCACTCCAGTATCATCACAATGTCTAAGTGTCTCACAATCTTGAATGTGCTTAAGAATAAAGCATGAAAGCAAAACAAAATACCTTTGACTTCTTACTTAGTCAAGCCCATGATACAGTTTCCAGAATCTCATAGGCCAGCTGAGTCCTAGTCTCAAACCAGATCACTGAGTGTGTACCTACCAATAGAGCTGTCTCAAGGGATAGCCATCCCAAGAAATGATGGGTACAAGTTACTCCTGGGAAGATTCTGGTTGGGCACAAGAGGAAATTTTTTTACAAGGAGGACAGCAGCCATTGGAATAATCTCTCCAGAGTAATGGTGGATTCTCTCTCCAGTTTAGGACACCTTTAAGGTTCAGCTGGACAGTATACTACGCCATGTCTAGACCTTGCTCTTACCAAAAAAGGTTGGACTAGATGGTCCTTGCAATCCCTTTCAACCTGGTATTCTCTCATTGTGTTCATAGCAGTCTGAGTCCTGCAGACTCACTGGGGATAGACGGAGCTGCATTCCTGTTTTTCATGGTTGGCAAGTCCAAGGAGAAGCAAAGGGACAGAGATGCAGGAAGCAACACTGCTTTGTCTCTTCTCCAGTGAAGTATAAGAACTGAGGAGCACTGAGAGCACTTGAGACCTGGGAGGACCAAGAAAAAAAGGGGATTATATTGAAAACCTGGTTGGCAGAAGTGAGATTTGCTCTGCAATTATGTGAGGTTCTCATTGTTCATAACTCTCAGCATAACATACAACTTTTGGAACTGACATGCCTTAGAATAATTAACCTTGAAGGAAGAACAACAGTTTTTACAACTTCAGGCCTGTAGCTGTGAATGGTTACATTTGGGATGCAAGTTTTTCAGTGAGCTTTCAATTTGCTGGGGAAGGAGAGAGATGAATGCCACTTGTGAGAGATAACTTTGGGTTTCTCAACTAAGAACCAGGGTTATCAGGTAGATATAAAATAAAATCACCTCATCAGCCACATCACTAACCTCAGCAAAATCCAACAATAACCATTTTATACCTGGTCACACTCAACCACAAGACATCTGGCAACCAAACACTTTTGGCCAACAGTAGTATAGTGGAAGGTGGAGAAGTGGGAATTTACCTCCTCAGTCAAGACTCTTCCAAGGCTTTATCTTGGTGAAGTAAACAACTGCATTTTACTAGTTGTCATGTACATCACAATGAGGTACACAATTTATAATAATAAATTATATTTATGAAGTAGGATCTTATTAAATTATATTTAGGAAGCAGGACCTGCTCTGGATTTGTCTTCAGACTTCCCTGTGTGAAGGAACCTTGAAATAAATAATTTCCACTCTGGCAAGCACCTGGTTTAAAACAAAGGTGAAGCCAATGAATTAAATAGTCAAAACACCTGATTCCTTTTAGGAGGGAGGGAAGCAGTAAATAATGTTGCCTTAGAGAAATTTCTCCCTTGTCATGCCTTTCCCCTTGCAGTTTGCTGTCACTAATCACTGTGAGCCAGACTGTGCATGTGGAAGAATCCTTCAGACGGAGTCAGTGGGGCTACTCATGTGAGTAATTTGGAAAGCACTCAATCAGGGCAATCAAGCCCTGTGGTATTAGACTCATTTTGGCTATAAATTCCCCAAGCAAGGACTTTTATGTCAGTAAAACAGTGGCTGCAATTCTGGTGCAGTGCTTTTTTTATTTAGTTCTTTTTTCCTCCCCACAACTTCTCATTTCCTCTCACCTTTTTCTTCACATACACACGCACACACAGAGTGAGACTCAGAGAAGCAGCAGCTTTGACAAGCAGTGCTAACATGCCTCCCTGCTCTGAGCAATTCCTTTGGGCGATTTAGCAATGTCATTCTGGCTCTCAGCATTTCTTTCAAGTCAGGAGCCTCACTGCTTATAGCAGCTTGGGAAAGGGAGAGCCCAGGTGCAAAGGCAGGAAAAAAGTTCCATCGGTGGCTGGCAGCAACAGGAGAGTCTGGTTGTGCTGGTGAGTCAGCTCCACTCGCTCCACTTGCTTATTCCAGCCACATACAGGCAAGTGCAGGCAGGGAAAATTCCTAGCTTTGATTGTGAGGAAAGGGCTTGCTTATGCCACCACAATAAACTCTGTTTTCCCAGAATGAAATCTCACAAGGCGTAATTGCCAAAATCCTAGGACGAAATACTTGTGCTTAACCCCTGACACATCTTGTTCTTTTCACTGGGAGAAAAGTAGTCATTTATGGTTTGGTGTTTTGGTTTTTTTGAGTTTTGTTTTGTTTTTTAAATTCAGTTACCAGCCTTGATGTGCCTAAAATGGGAATAATGACAGAGAATACAATATCTCCTGTCTGCACTGCTAGCTGTACACTTGCATATAAATAGCACTTTTGTTTCATGGGTTGGAGTAGAGGCTGAAGAGACATACTGACAGTGCAGCAGCTCTTTTCCTTTGTAGCGAATCTAATAGGCCTGCAGTATGAAAAATGCTACTTATGCTTTGCTTTTAGGCTGAAACTCACTCTGTGCAGAGGTCTAGTGGAGGGCAGAGGCCCCGCTTTATATCCTGCTGAGCCTTCAGAGAGGCTTTCCATGTTACCCTACGGGAACAGACAGTTTTGCATTCTGTTCGTGGGTAAAGGCATGTAAATAATACCTTTATGACTCAGGTATGTCTTGAAATATGCAACCTGATGGCAGACAGTTCTACTTTATTGTGTAGATATTTGTTCTGAACCACATAGCTTGTAAGTCATGAAATATTAATGGCCATGCAAATCTTCTCTTCTGTATCACAAGCTTTTCTGTGTTCCTGACCCTTGACTTCCTTTAATCATCTCCTGGGTGTGTGGTCTGTTACTATTCTGAGATATCTTGTGAACAGGGGCAAAGTAATTACTTGATCCTTGCCTGCTGCAAGAATCTTTTTGAAAAGAAAATTGATAACTTCAGACACGCTTCCTCCTTGCATTAAGATCAGCCCCACCTGCTTGCTTCACAAGATTTCTCTTTTGGTGGCCTGAATGCAGACCTGCAGTGTTCAGTGCTATTGTCATGAGTGTAAAAACAGCATTCTTGGATCTTCTAAATTGTCATCTGCTCCTCCACAGATTAATTATAATTTTTGGTCAGATGTTTTCTCCCCTTCACTCTCACTCTCTTCCCCCTTACTGATTTGTCCGAAGGCATCCTTATAAATATGCTGTTTTATTGTGACTTGTTACAGGAAAGCCAAATGATCTTTCAGTGATCAGCTGTAGTGCCTGTTAGCTACAGGGTTATCTTAGCCATCTCCCTAATAATTGGAGGCTGAATTAATGCCTGAAAGACAATATTTTTTATATTTATTTTTTTTTTAAGAACAAAGGCATGTATTCTTGGTAGAAGTCTCTTTCTCCACCTGTTTTCTAACATCCCAAACGCTAAGAATAAGGATGTTACCAATGTGGAGAAATATGGAAATGCTCCTTAGCTCCCTACCAAACGTAGGAGAGGTCGGTGGGTTTGTGCCATGCAGGTCTGACAACCAAAGGAGGAGGAGATGTGCAAGCAATACAGCTGGGGAAAGAGAAAACTAACCATGAAAATGCATTTCCCATATGGGAGCTATTTCAGTAAACCAGTGTGATGAAAGTACAGACATGAGTAGGTATTTGTACAAGTGAGCTCGTAGTGACTGCCAAGAGCATGGTGGAACACAAGGGCAATAATGACCACACAGTTTAATACAAAGTTAATAAATGTTGACCTACAAGTTTCTGATTTCTGGAGCAATTTTGCCCAAGTTGCAGGAGTCAGCAATGAAGCACCAAAAACGCTGCCTCTGAAATGGTGGGTTTATACAGATTAGGAGGTGGGGAAGACTAGCTAAGGTCAAAACATTCATTATCAGAGCAGAGATAAAGGAACTGGGATACCCAGGTGTTTGTAACATGCCACTTTGCAAGACCTGGAGTGACAAATAAGAGCCTTCCTGGGGCTCTGCTGTTCAGTCCTCAGTGTGTGCTATTTCTGAGGGTCAGGTGCCAGCCTGGGAGGAATCCACAAAACAAAGCAACCCACCTCACCTTTGATTTCATTCAGCAGCAGGTGTCTATGTGTCTTTGAGGACATAGATGTCTTTCTTTCACACTTAGAACTTTCTTTCCCTTGAAATGACTGTGGTGACTTCTGGGGCAGACCCACGGCTTGGCTCACACAAATGGCTGTTGTGAAGCAAAGTTATGCAGTGGCTTAAAGCCTGGCAGCCTCCAGCCTGGGGACCACCCACACAGTGATTGTTCCCTGTGCAGGGAGCTGCAGTTCTCCCACAGGGTGGTGGAAAGCTGATGTGCCACCAGCTGGTGGGTGCTGTGGGAGTCATAGAGAAAGCAGATGGAGCAGAGAAGCCAGAGCATCCCTCCTGGCCCATCTGCAGCACTGTGGTGTCCCACCACAGGATGATTTATAAGCCTAAATGATGGTAATGAGCCCTGCTGCAGGTCTGGTTACCCTGTAGTCTGCAAAGGTGACAATTGCTAAGTCAGGTTTTGGAAGGAGGTGAGCTCTGATCAGCTGAAAGGAGCAGTGAGTAATCCTCGTCTACCTGGCTTTCTATCCAAGCTGTGAGTCATTCTAATGAGCAATACTGAAAGTGCTGACCTGCCCATCTCATGCTTCCTAACTGAGACTCCAAGCTAACCTGCAGCCTTGGTGTGCCTCAGGGCTGCCTTTTGGGCAGAGGAGAACCTGGGACGCTGGTTTTACTGCAGACCTTACCAGTGGAATAAATGCTGTTGTGGATGTGTGTGTGCCCAAACAATTGGCGCAAGTAATTAGGAAGCTTTCCGTGGGTTTTCCGTATTTGGCATTCCCTGCCAAAACTGCAGAATTGTTTTTGATTTAAGAAACATTTTCTTACCCCTCGCCATGAAGATTTCTGTTGCACATCACTCTCTCTTGAGAGTGAGATGGTCTTGTAGCCTGGGCAGCTACAGCTGGGCCGGTGTGCAGCGACTGGGCAGAGCAGCACATGGGATTATTGCTGGCTTAGCCCAGCCCATGTCTCTGTGTTCCTGGGGACAGCACAAGCAGCCTCTCCTCTCCTCTCCTCCCTGCTCTACACTGTGCCCACACTGCAGGGTGGGATGGTGCCCATCCTCTCTCTTCAAAAGGCTGCTCCTTTGAGTGCAAAGTCCTCAATGTCCTCGCTTGGCTTTGAGCTCCATGTGTGGTTGGGGATGACAAGACGTGTTTGCCTCTGGTTTGAATGCAGGGCATGGTCTAGCTTGGCTGCATGTAGAAAACTGCACTGCTGGATGTTTCCAGCAGCTTCCCCTGAGTACATGGCACTATTTAAAGTGAAAGCATTTTGATTTGGAAGAGGCAAGGATGAAGGTGAAGGCTAATAATGGAAGTTTATAAATGCAGCTGACATCCTAGCACCTTGTGTCTTTCATGCTGTCCTTCATTTACTTTCCTCTTTTGGTGCTCTGTTTTTCCCCCTGTGAGCAAAGTGTTGCTGAGAGTAACTGGGGTAGCTGAGTTTGATCCCTTTATGTGCCTATGGATATAGAGATTCAGTGTTATTTAACACTGAAATGTGTGAAATGATCCATGAGACCTCCAGGGTGAACTATGCTAAGGGACAGACTTTCATAATCTGTGGATTATGCTCCATAATACATATATATTTTATAGAGTGTATATATGTATATATAGTTCATGACTAATATGGAAACCCCTCTTAGTTAATGGCTTCTAGGAGAGACACAGCCACATAACATTCCTGTGTGGGTGGGTGGCTGTTGGCACCAGCAGTGGGATGCCTGACTCTAGTTGTGATCTGGGCTTCTCAGCTAGGCTCCTGCTCCTCGTCAGCTGCAGGACGTGGGCAGCAATAAGGGCAGTTCAGCCTAGATTGTAAGAGAAGTCTGATACAAACAAGAACTTTTCTCCTCCTCTGTTATCTGCCTGGGCTCTCCATGTAGGTGGCTTGGTTGGATGTGAGCCCTTCAGACAGCAGAACCTGTGTTGAGGTGAATGTGACTCACGCTGAATGTCTCTTAAAGCCCACGACAGGTGAAGGTAGATGGTGAGATCCTGAGTCCTTTTCCACAGCCTTGAAATGGGATTGTCCCTCCTTTTTGTCTCTGAAGCTTTTCTATCCCTCGTCCCTCTGCTTTGCCAAGTTCATCTGGGAGGTGTACAACAATGTGCACACACAGCCAGCTGGTTTATGCTGAAACCTCATGTATTTCACAGATAGGCTGAGCT